CCCCAAAACCCCAAAACCCCAAAACCCCATTGGACAAAAATGATGGTTTGAACAGAGAAAGGGAATACATTTGTTGATAAATTTTAAATATTTAACAAGAAAGTACGCCTTTTAAGCTCACTTTATAATTATTACTATGAACGACTAAGAAATGATCACAACCAAAACGAATATACAAATGACTACCAGATAGTATTCCAATTCTAATTTAAACACAATTTCAAGCAACATGAATGGCATCATTACTGCAGCAGACAATAATTTAGTTAGAGCAGCTACAGCAGCAGACTATTAGCTCTATGGAGGCTAAATAAACAATTAAATGAGTGGAAGGAATAAAGGATACTAGGAGGATGTGATGGTTAAAAACCAACAGTCTCTCAGAAGCCATTACAAAGGCAAATACTCTTTTAAAAGCAGTAAGTTAAATATAAATAGACCAACAAGTATGTAGGTCCTAGAAAATAATGGTATACATTGCCATAAAGCAAAATATTTCCCTTCATCTAAGCTCAGCTAGCAGCAGAGTGGTGAGCAGCAGCACTTTAATGTCATGCGGGCCCTCAAACCACAAAGATCAAGCAAAGGCTTGCTTAATTTTCAAAGAATGGCAGCTGCTTTTGGAGATGATTTAATTTCTGAGGACATTATTGAACTTAGTAGAAATAATAGCAACCAAGATGCTTTATTCTAGGATAGACCATTCCTACCTATTCACTCCCCTTAATATTCTGATAAAATGTATTCTGACATTTAAGCAGATTTATAGAGCAAGTAAAATGTTATGAATGCGACAGGAGAATTTTCAGGCGCAAGTGAACGAAAAATGATTCCAGCTTTTGATTGGAGGAAAGACTAATAAGTAAGAGTAGGCTAATCAAGATAGTAGTATGAAACAGAGCTATTATCTAATCAGAGATTTTAATAGTAATTTATTTAGTAAAATCAACAATCTAAGTAAAGAACAAACATAAATAACAAAGCTAACCAACAAAGCAAGCAAACCAATCAAAAACCGATACACAAATATAAAACATTTAAGAAGCAATTAGCAACTTTTCAGAGACAAATGTATAATAGGAAATAGATGAAGTTGATTACTTAACAGCAACAACAAAATCAGATATCTCAGTCATAGGAGAGACATCTTCCAACCGACTCTTAAATGAGTCAAACTCATGATCTTGGTTTGAAAATTTCAAATGCAAAAGCTCATGAGACATCTGCACTCAATGAAAGCCCGAAAGAGCTTATTGTTTGCAGAAGAGAACCTATCATTTACAAGAAGCCAACAAATAATGAGGGATAGGTTCATTCTTGTAAAAACAATGAGGAAGTAAAGAGAAGAAGGAGACGAAATAGGGGAAGAAATTAATTCAAAAATAAAATTGGGAAAAATTTTCAAAATGAGAAAATCAATGAGCCATATTAAAATTAATAACAATTAAGGAATTTCTCAGGCAAGAGTAAGTTCATCAAAAAGTCTTAAAACTTTGGAAAAGATAAAGCATTTAAGAGAGAGGCTTATGATTAATTTCAAAGACGCATCTAAAAAGCTAAGCACTTAAAGCCATTTGAAGTATCAAAGAATAGACAACATACTCCTCACAATACAAGCCAATTTCTAGCTCAAGACTTCATGAATAGAAAATGTTAGGAGATCTCTATTGATATTGAGTTTTCAGAAATGAAGGATTCAACAGAATAGAACATTGTTAATAAATGGCAAAATGAGAAAGCTTAAGAAGGAAGGAATTGTTAATAGAAAGAAAGAGAATTCAGACTCGATATGTTTGGGGATTCATAGTAATCAACATCAGTTGGAGACATTTCAGGAGAAGAAGATCTCTATCAAGAATAGCATAGACTTTCGAGTCAACCAGGTTTGACAATGTAAGGAATGGTAGATGAAGACATGTTTACCATAGATCTGAGCGAATCTGAAGATTCGACTATCAATAGTCCCTTAAAGGATTACTTTATTACTAACGCAGATATAGTTTCATAGCCTGTATTAACTAATCATTAGACAAAAATGATAAGCATTGATGATCTAGACTCTAATGAGCTGATGATGACTATTGAATCTAACCAAGAGTTAATTACTTCTTTGGAAAACGAACTAATGAAGAAGATGAACATGATTAAAAGGAATAAACTTGATCTGGAGTGAATATTGACCTTGAAATATTAATGCACTAAAGAAGATGAGATATAAGATCTCAAAATGACAGAAATGATAGTCAATACTGTATGATATTGTTTGAGATCAAGAATATTGTACCTTATTTAAGTTTTTAAATATGTTTATTCGAAGGTATTTTCTCTATCAATTTATATTAATTTCTAAAAATCTGACGAATATTGGATGAATGGGGTTTTGGGGTTTTGGGGTTTTGGGG